TTTAGAATAAATTTTGGATACTTTCCCAAATAATTCATCATTTAGAAGAAAATAAGGAAAGCTGAATTCTCTGTAATGGGTATACAAAACTTAAGCAAAGGTGATGATGATTTAGGAAGTAATTTTCAAGAAGCAAGTGAATAGATTAAATGAATGGTACAGTGTTAGGTTTATATCCTAAATCAGAGTTAGAATCTTTAAAAGAAGTTTTTAACTTCAAAAATACAAATCTGCTAAAGTGCAATACAAAATGTCTGTATTACATTATTATCTAGGATTGCACCTATGAATTTCTTTCAGGAAACTGGACAGCCTTTTTGAAATCAAGAATAAGATATAGATGTACAAAAAAAGATGTGTATTAACTAACATATGCTTTCCAGTTGCATCTTATCTTCAGGAATTAGACACAAAGGTAACTGTGCCTGATTATCACCTTTAAAATTTTCCTTTTATGATATTTACAATATGTAAAAAGCAAAAGAAATTGAGGATTAAAAGGATAACATTCCATGTTCAAGCAAAAGCTATCCTGGTTCTTTATTTTCATACTTCCAAAATGCTCACTCTATTACTATTAGGAGCCATTGTGAAAAACGTAGAGCTTTAAGAGTACCAATGAGTTCAGAAATGGAAGAAGGAAAGAAGCTGTAAAAACCAAGAATGACACGGTCAAGTATGAATTAGCTGCTTTTAAGCTGAATTCCTTAAGCCAAAACATCTTTCCCCACATTGCCTGAATTTTTTCATGTTACATTATACTGTTGGAAATTCTACCAAAGTGTTTCGGTTAACAGGCAATTCTCTTTAACCCTATTCTTAGGGAAGGTGAAGTGGGGAAAGATCCTTTTTTCTCCCTTGCTTTTATTCCCAAAATCTAGAATTCAAGTTAGGATTATTAGATTATATATTTAGCTCAATATAGATATCTTTTGTGGGAATATCCTATGAATTTAAATATCATTGGTAATATGGGTAGAATTGGACAAAACTTCCAAAATTAAGTATGCTTGATTGCATTTCTTTCAGTTTAGAGCCATATTTGAAAATGAAAGCAGAGATGAAAGTGCATAAAGAATGGCTACCTAGTAAATATCCTTAAGCTCTATCATTTTCAGTCAAAGCAAGTTAATTGAATTGGGTAGATAAGAAAAGACTCAGGTCTCTCAAAATTTGGAGAAATTCTATCCAAAATAGAAAACAGAGGTCCCTCAGAATGCTTATAGCCAGAAGAGGGGAAAGCCAGATGGAGGGAGGTCTTTCTCTTTGCCAGCATACTGACAGCATACATTCTTTTTATTGATCAAACAATAAGGATATCGTACTTGGAAACCAAGTTGGAAAGGAGATATTCAGGTGAATAGACAGGGAATTCTTTCCATATTGAAAAAAGACAACTGGTAGGCTTAGGGAATTCATGGGACAGGAATAACATAGTTTGATTTTTAGCTTGCAATTTTCCAAAGGGAAAAGTGCTTTTTTAAGCACTGAAACCTATCAAAGACAAAGATCTAGAGAGAATGCCACAAAGCTGGTTGATGGTAAATAATGGGAGGAAAATAAATGCTAAGAACTTTGAGACATTTACTTTGAAGCCTCTATACTTTAGAGCAGAAACTTGACTCTCCTTATAAAACAAAATAACAACCCAAAACTACCATCCCCTCAAAAGCGTTACTTTCCCCAGGAAAGAAAAGCTCTCGGAGTTGTATTTTATCCTCTCTATTCCACGAAGGAAAAAATGAAGAAAAAAGTCAGAGTCTAATCAAAGGACTTTCTTATTAGAAATTATCTCTTCAGGCCTAAGAGCATACTGGAATCTTGTAGGTACATCCCAAAGGAGTGTGAGATCTAGGACCCTCCAAATGATAAGGAAAAAACCCCAGGAAGTGAAAGGGCTCACGTGAGGAAAAGATTCTTAGCAGGCGACAAAGGAAAAGGCTTTAGTCTTTAAATACAGAAAGGCACCTTCTCACATCCCTGTTTTCCAAAGGGAAGAAGTACACCAAGATGTTTATGACTCCAATTACCTTTAGAGAAATACTACATGACAATTACTTGTGGGTACACACCTTGACAGAAATGCAAAACTGAGGTTAACATACTAGCTTCACTAAGAAAATTATGCATCAAAATATCAGTAAATAATCAAGTATTGGCACTTTTTAACTAAGAAAAACATATCAAATGAGGAAAACTGACAAATCAGTAAGCGGAAAAATTTTAAATTGCATGTTTTAAAAATAAGTCAGATATCAACATCACTCACTCACTGGCCTAAATAAAATGTGTTAATGACTATTTGGCCTGTTACTGTGTATCTTCACTTCAATACATTCAGGCTTGGCATTATATTGATAATATTTTAAGCAGCATGCCTAAAAAGAATGATAAAACTGGAATCCTCAATCAGTTAGTTCATTAGTTTGAAATCTATGCCTGCTATTTTATATTTGGGGATCTGACAGGTCAGAAAGTAGGTAACATTGAGATAACCATGAAATTAGAATATAGAAAACTGAAGGATTATGTCATATGGAAAGAAGAAATAAAATAATGACAATGTGAAATAAAACAAGTGATCTTGAATGGCACTTGATTTCTGAGAGGAACCAGGAGAATGCATAAAATATTAGCAAATTTATGCAATACATAAAAGCAAAGAGACACAAACACCTACAGGAGGTCCAACAAACAGCAATAACTGTAGCTGCTAATCAGAACGTGGTACTCAACATGGAAGGACAGAAGCTGATAGCACATTTTTAGGAATTTATGCACAAGAATAAAAACAATGAATAGAGTTAAAAGAAACAGCATCAGTTATGAATATTACATCCATCTTTTGGATAAAATTTTGCCCTTTTCCTCTTTTAAATCTGTAGAGATTTCAGAATAAATTTTGTCAAAGTATACGTCTAGCACCAGCAATTTACTGTTATAACAATAGGGCATGTTGATGCATGATATCAAAGTTGGATTGGATGCATTCCTAAAGTCTTTTCTAGTCCTTTGGTTCTATATTTTAATATTATCCAAGCACTACTTCTGGGAAAGATACAAAGAATTTTTGTGTATGTGACTCCAATTCTTCATTTTATAGTTAAATATAGCATATCCAGGAAACACACTCCTACATGTGGGAGTTACCATGTATAAATTTGTTTGAAAATACTGTACTGCCATTACTGGCAGTATAAAGCAATGTTATAAACTAAATCATACCTCTCTATTCTAAGCCATCCTTCTGAAATCAGCTGACAGAGGAAGTTAGTCTTAATTTTCCAAGATCCTTTATCTTTTTTTTTTTTTTTTTTGGTGAGGAAGATTAGCCCTGAGCTAACATCTGCTGCCAATCCTCCTCTTTTTGCTGAGGAAGATTGGCCCTGAGCTAACATCCGTGCCCATCTTCCTCTACTTTATATGTGGGATTCCTGCCACAGCATGGCTTGATAAGTGGTGCATAGGACCGTGTCTGGGATCCGCACCTGCGAAACCCAGGCCACAGAAGCCGAGTGTGCGAACTTAACTACTACACCAGCAGGCCAGCCCCAGGATCCTTTATCTTTTGACAAGCTACCATCTTTCTATTTCGATTGTATTAAAGATTTTGGGAAACAGTTGCAAAGTTATTACCTTGTGATTTTGGTAAATGTACTAATATTTGTACTATCCATTTCACTCTAACACAGAGTGAATTTCAGATGTTTCCAGATTGGCCTTTCAAAATGGGTACTAAGTAAGTAAAAACTTACTTCTCAAATTTATCTCTAGAAGATATACTACAAGAAAGAAAAAAATAAAATGGGCTTTACTTAGTATATGTAAGGAGAATTTTCATCTTCCAAATCTGTCTGTTTTTAGAAGTAAAATGTTTGGGCTACGAAGTTATGCCATGAAGAAGGTTGATGCTGTCCTCCATGTATTCAGGTTGACAATAAATTCCACCGTTTTGATTAGCTTCTCAAAATAAAGCTAAATTCTAAGAAAGTGTATATGTATGAATTATATATGTGTGGATATATGTGTCTATGTGTGTATGCATATAATTTATGTGTGTGTGTATATATACGTGTTTATGCATATAATCTCTAAGGCTGTGCAGAAGAAACACACTTGGGTATCAATTATTATCAAAATCCCTTATCCAATAATACATTATTAATTTTTATTAACAGTCCAGGATTTGTTTAGCATCATGTTTAACATTTTGAAAAATCACAACAACTTTTTTTGTCATCAAGGACAGTGCTATCAAAAGAAGATCTCTAACATCAATGGTTAATAATTTTTACTTACAGAAGAAAAACTTTTGAAATTTCATTGTGGGACTTACTCGTCTATTTATATTTCTGAGAACTGAGAATATTAATGTACATGAGGTCCTTGTATGCTAGTTTATATTCATATGGTCCTATTGTTCTCCTGAAACCATTTGACTGGCAAACATATTCATTATGGTTCCAAAAGAAACACCCTATTTGACTCACTAGGAAAAACTTTGAGGTCTATGTCCTATTATTTTTGCTGCTACTGCTGCTGCTGATCATGGAATACATTTGGGGATGGAACAGGAGAGGACAGAGATAGATTTATTAGGGTAATGCCGATATTTACGGCTTTTCTCCTTCTCTCCTAAAATCAGGAAGTCAGTGAGAGAACTGCAAATCAATGTAAGAAGGACTTTTTTATACTACTACAGAAATTTCGGTGATAAAAACACTTAGGATTTGTTCTGTAACTTTTGAACAATGGCTTTTCCTCCTACCTATTTTCCAACTTTATAATAGGAATTGGTTTTAGAATCAGAATTTAAAGTTTTTCTTTGGTGTAAGAAGTAGTTTTGCTTTTTATTAAAACAATTACTTGTCCTTTTTAAAATTAATAACATATGTAATATATTGGTAACGTATAAGAATAAAAGGTCAAAAGATTAAAGCATTCAAAGAACACTAAAATACAGTAGAATATCAGTCAGTAAATATCAGTCAATGATCATGTCAGAAGTGAGCCCTTTTTTTATCGAAACAATTCTAGGTGATCCAAATTATATAAAATTTGGTAGCAAATGGCTTATGTTATAGGAAGGCTGCTGCAGTATTATCTCAAATATTAGAGAAAAAATTTAATATAGTGAAATTAATCACATGAAAAAGCAAGAATATTGATCATGTTCATGGTATTTCTAATATTTGGAAAATGTTATAAAAAAAGCAGTATAAATAGTATTCAAATTCTGAAAACTGTGGCAGAAGCAAAATTAAAGAGTAGCAGTAATAAATAAAAAATTAGACAAAAGCATATTAAATGACAAAATAGCAAAGTAGTAGAACTGAATCATTAAGATTAAATATACTATATGCTAAAAGGCATGAAAGTATTAAAAATTCTTTTAGAATTAGGAATGACTTTTATCCTAAATATTAAAATAAACAGCAAAGAATATGAAACATAACTTCTAAAAGGTTGAGAGGAAAAATAACACAAAGCAGAGAAAATGAAAGACACCTCACTATTCCCAATGTGGTTATTATTTACGGAATGGATAAAACATGTTGTATAAAATGTCACTACAGTTAGATAAACACATAAAAACACCAACATGCCACATCTACCTAAATAATTTTGTATAACAGCTGAAAAAGCAAATTTCATCAAATTTAGACAGCTTATAGTGGAATAAATATAGTGAGGTATTAACTAACCCTAAGTTTCACAACGGGCAGCTTCTAGCCGGTTCGTTGAAGCTGGATCTCGGCCACACAAGGATCATTGGACAAGAAATCAGTTGAGCTGGACTAGAGCTGCCCAGTTGTCTTAATAATGAATGCTCCACAGTGTCTGTTAAGTAAAGAGAAAGAAAATATAGATCAGAAAGACTGAATGGGAAAAAAAAGAGTAAGTTAGAGTAGATGAGCGTAGGATATCAATCAACATTTACTAAATACTTGCAGAACATGTGGTACTAATTATATTAGATTAGAGTACTATGAAGTGAGAGGCTAGAGATTAGGAGGGGTCCAGAGCTTCCTGCTCTCTGAGAGCTTACCATCTATTTTAGACAATCCCTAGTCTAGTGTCACAGTATAAATGTTTAGTATATAAAAATGGGGAACAGGCAACACAGAAACAAGTGAGTTATAACATTCCTTCTATTTTTGAAAATATTATTGGTGGGTTTTAAAAATATGTTTTTAAAAGGGAAGTGGAGTTTGGCAGAAGGCTATTTAGAAAGTCGTCCAAAACCCAAAAAGTACCCTTCAAGTTGGCATTGGTAGGACAGGCATATAGGTACTGATGCCATATAATACCGAGTAATTCCATATATCTGTGTCATCCTGAGATTTTTGTGTGTGTGTTAAGATTAGTTTGGGTCAAAGAAACAACCAAGTTGCTATTATCTTTTCGGCACTTTGGGTGTAAGCCAGCTCCTAATTTAGGGAACCAAGCTGTCCTATGACATACTTGTAGTTTTGGATAGGCTCAAAATTCTCCATATTTGTTTCAATATCTGTACAGAAGTACTGTCTGATAGAACTTTCTATGTTGATGGAAAAGTTCTATATCTACACTGCCAAATATGGTAGCCAACGTGGGGCTATTTAGCACTTGAAATGTGGCTAGTTGCTACTGAGGAACCAAATTTTAAATTTAATTTCATTTTAATTAATTTAAAATTGAAATTAACTAGTCTCATGGGGCTAGTGGTTACCATGCTGGTGAAAGCATGACAGTGTTGGTGACAGACAAACCAGTGTTGTCTGGTTTGCTAAACTCTATAGACTGGCCTGGATTTCTCTGGCCTGTTCAATACTGTCCAATACCACTTATTGTTCATTGATGTATTCTCAGTGTCTAGAATATTGGGTTGCACATGGTAGATGCTCAATAAATATTTGGTAAATGAATGAAATCTACTGTGGTAATATACAGCTATTCATGCCTAGTCAACTACTCACAGCTTATTGGCAATATGCTCTGGTTCTCTAAGGAAAAATAGATAAGTGAAGTCAAACTATTCCATGTATGTGGAACTGCTTTGTTGAAGGCTCAATATGCCTAGACAGAACAGGAGCAGAGCTTGCTTCATTATTATAGCTCAAAGAAAAGCAATATAAATAGTTGTATATGAATAATTTAGGTTGGTAAGTATGTGAAAACCGAAGGGAGAATATTTAATGGTAAAGAATTTGGTAAGGATGTATAAGAGCTGATGAGATTCATAAGAGGGAAAAAAACTAACTTCAGATTAAAAAAACTAAATTCAGATTTATGTATGACTAAAGCGTGGAAACTGAAGACAGTGACATCTTGAAGAAATATACAGTAAACTGGTTAGGCAATAATAGAGCTTAGGAAAGGTATTTGGCAGTGGAAAGAGAAATAAATATATTATTCTTAGCAAGTTAGCTGAAAAAGGGACACAAAGACAAGAGGTCAGAAAAATCACTGGTATTGTTTTGATTTTAGGTGAAAAGGAAGATGGGCAAACTAACACATAAGAGGTGAGGATTCTGAAAATAAATGTAAGAAATTGTGTATTCGTGAGTTTCAATTTGAGAAGGTAGTGACCATCCATCCAAGTGTTGTTCTAGGGTTAAATTAGGAGGAGAATCAAAGCACTAGGGTCAGATTCACTTTTAAACACTACTAAAATGCAGAAAACTGGAAACTCCCTTAGAAGACAATTTAGAGGGCAAAGAGAATCGTGCCATGATTAGTAGCTGGTAAAAGAGGAAGAAATATATTTCTGAAAAAGACACTGAAAGATCAAACTTAATGCAAGGAAAGAGAGCCACATTTGAAAATTAAAATTTGAGCACAGGCTAGTTGACAGTAGAATTAAATTAAAAAGAACCTAAGAGGACAAGAACTAGGACAAAACCCTTGGGATTTGGCTAATAAGAAGTCATCAAATCTTGGCAATAAATCTTAGATAAGCAGTTTGAATAGATCTCAACACTAAAAGAACAATAATTTCATATGGAATGGAAAAGATAACCCTATACTCCTCCCTCATGTCTTTCCAAAACAGATAATTTTAAAATATTAGTCAAGTGTGGAATATAAAATCCTACTGCTTGTTATGATGTATTCTCAAAATGGGGGAAGATGTTACCCAAAAAAAGTTTAGAAAACAATTCTGTAAGGGATTAAGATTTGATGAGTTGAATCTTATGTTGTGAAGATACTCATCCAAGTAGTCTAAGGGAAAAGAAAAAAGATTGAGTAAAAGGAGAAAAAATGTTCAATTAGAGGGAATGACAGACTCAGAATGCAAGGAAAGTAAGTGCTCAAACTAAGAATGAAAACACATAACTGGATATGCAAATAAAATGTACCACACAGTAAGACAGATTTCCCCCATAAAAGAAGTATAAAATTTACTTAGAATACTGTATCAACTAATACCTATCCTTACACAGTAATTAATAAATATCTCAAATTATCTTTAGCCACACTTCCCCCCACATTAATTAAGTATCTTGGCTGGTAAGAACTTATGGCAAATGTAAATATTAAAGCAGTCCAGAGGCTAAGAGTCAATAATCCATGTTAGATTAAAAATAGATTAAAAAGGGAATATAATCAATAATATTGCAATAACTTTGTATGGTGACAGATGGTAACTAAACTTATTGTGGTGATCATTTTGTAATGTATAAAAATATCCAATCACTATGATATACACCTGAAACTAATAGGATATTGTATATCAATTACACTTCAATAAAAAAATAATTAAATTTTATAAAAAAATAAATTTTATGAAAAAATAATTAAAAGTGAAAATATAACTAAAGCATTTGTACTATATTTCACATTATACTTTAAGAGGATACATGAACTTGACAATAGGTTAATTCAAGGGTCATGAAACTACGTCCTGTAGGCCAAATCTGGCCCGTCATTTGTTTTAGTAAATAAAGTTTGACTGGAACACAGTCACACTCATTGTTTATATTTTATCTATGGTCATTTTCACGCTACAAGAGCAGTGTCGAATAGTTAAGATAGAGACTGTGTGGCTTGCAAAGCTTAAAATATTTACTAATGGGCTCTTTACAGAAAGTTTGTTGACCCCTGGTTTAACCTATTCAGGCTAGAAAGAAATTTTCAGGCTGAGAACTTCTGAAAATCTAGGAAAGAAAACCTTAATAAGATGCCTTAAATTCAAAGAGTGTATATACTCTATATTGTGGAAATAATTATTACCAGCCTTAAATATATTGGACTCACCTTGATTAAATGAACATCAAAATCAGAAACTACAAGTTTAATAGAAATCTTGAGAGAAACTAAGAAGCTACTGATACTAATGCTTTTTGACTACAAAGAACAGGATTAACTAGGTATATGTTTAGTTATATAAGAAGGTAAGTATTTGTACACTAGTTACCATAATGTTTAAGTTAAATCTATACTTATTCTATGTTTTACCGTCAGAAAGTTGTGGGTTTTTTAAATTTTTCTGTGAGGAAGATTAGCCCCAAGCTAACGTCTGTGCCCATCTTCCTCTACTGTATATGGGATGCCTACCACAGGATGGCTTGATAAGCGGTGCGTAGGTCCAAGCCTGGGATCCAAACCTGCGAACCCCGGGGTGGCAAAGTGGAGTGCGTGAACTTAACCACTATGCCACCAGGCTTGCTCCAGAAAGTTAAGTTTTTTTTTTTTTTTGTGAGGAAGATTAGCCCTGAGCTAACATCTGTTGCCAATCCTCCTCTTTTTGCTGAGGAAGATTGGACCTGGGCTAACATCTGTGCCCATCTCCCTCTACTTTAATTTTTTTTTAAATTTTTTTTTTTTTTTGTGGAGGAAGATCAGCCCTGAGCTAACATCCATGCTAATCCTCCTCTTTTTGCTGAGGAAGACTGGCACTGAGCTAACATCCACTGCCAATCCTCCTCCTTTTTCTCCTCAAAGCCCCAGCAGATAGTTGTATGTCACAGTTGCACATCCTTCTAGTTGCTGTATGTGGGACGCGGCCTCACCATGGCCGGAGAAGCAGTGCGTCGGTGCGCGCCCGGGATCCGAACCCAGGCCGCCAGTAGCGGAGCGCGCGCACTTAACTGCTAAGCCACGGGGCCAGTCCCTCCCTTTACATTATATGGGACGCCGCCACAGCGTGGCTTGATAAGAGGTGCGTAGGTCCACACCTGGGATCCGAACCTGTAAACCCTGGGCCGCCACAGCAGAGCGTGCAAACTTAACCACTACGCCACCCCACCGGCCCCAGAAAGTTGAGTTTTTAAGTCTTTACAAAAGCACAAAGATCTTTCCTGTAATATTGAAAAATTTAATACTTCCAAGCCCTTGGCTTTTTCACACTGAGACTATTAGTGTTTTTTTTTTTTTAATAGAAAATTACATCTGTTATAATGTTTCTTGTAGAAAGCTGTGTTTACTTAATGTGGTAAACTGTATTTATAATATCTGGTTGGTATTATTCCTCATCAACTTGCTTCCTATGTCATCGCTTATCTAGTTTGAATAACCTCAACCTGTATGGAAGACTAAAAAGCTCTCTTAGAATTAGGAACATGTAGCTAAAGACATTCTTCCTTGTAAAAATTTATGTTACAAGTGAACTAAAGAGACTCTAACATAGAGGGTAACTGGTTTTTTTTTTTTTTTTTTATTGATGTTTTAATGGTTTCTAACATTGTGAAATTTTGGGTTGTACATTTTTGTTTGTCCATCACCACATATAT